TTTCAATATTTTTTTCTATGACAAGATTAAAACTCAAGTTTGCTTAAGAAAATGGAGTGAATTGAGATAGTGATGAATAGAAATATATATGTGTAGGGTAGTTTTGGAGTGAACGTGGTTTCTGAGCTACAATTTGTGTTCACGTTTAGTGGGACTCCTGAAATTCTGTCAGTGATTCTGATGTGTCAGACTCTACTTGGCACATGCTGACGTTAATGCCCAACAACACATGCACCAGATAGATGTTATGTATTGTACCATTTACTTTTACCCCACCTTGTATTCCATTCCACACCCCTCCACCCATTTCATCATGAAAAACAAACCTCTTGCTGTTTAAGTGGGTACGGAAAAGTTACACACATATATTGTTTTTTATTTTCCTTTTCATACAACATCCATTATGTATTTATGCTTTACAAATGTATTTTTTAGTGTACTCTTCAAATTCATGGAGTTGTAACTGGTTTATGTCAACGACTACATATTTGCATGTTTGGATGCACGCCTTCAACTATTTTACTGTGTTACAATAGACATAACAAACAGTAGCTTATGTATTTTTCTTCCTAATTTATGTGTGTTCATAATACATACTTAGTGAGAGTATATGGAGAAAGAGAAAATTAGAAAATATGTTATTAACATTTTTTTATTTTGATATTTGATTATCTTCTTTATTAACATGAAAATTATAGAAAATGAAATTTTTATTACTATTATTATGGTTCATGCATCTAGAATTATTGTCATTTTGTGATAAAATTAAGAAATTCAAATACAATGATTTCTATTATTTATGGTCCATTTGGATTAGGATCAGAAAGTTAAAAGAAAAGAAATTAAGGGGAAATACTTTTATAATTGAAATTGTAAGGTACTTTCTGTTTAATTATATCTTCCTAAATCAAGATAAAATGCTAAAAAAAGATTCCAAAAATAAAAGCAATAGATAAAATTACAAACTATATATAAAGAAATCCTATTCCTATATCATGATTTGGACAAAAACTAGACTTTCCTAATTTTTTTCTCAAACTATAGTTTTGAGTTGTTTATTTTACTGAAATCAAACATGATACATATCACTTTGGAATTGTTATTTGAACTTGGATATTTTTCCTCCAAATATTCAATCAGATTAATCAGCTATAGTACATGGAAAAAGAGAAAGAGTGATTTGGAGAAATCCATGTAAGGAAAAGCGTGTGTTCTACTCTTTTCCACTAGCATGAATTTTATTCGAAAAAGCATAAAGATGGTGGTGGACTTAAATAAATTAAAAAAGAGAAAGAGAAAGAAAGAATCAAAAGGCAATTGAATAGGAAAGGAGAAAAAGGATAGAATGAGGAGGATATGTGAAGATTTCAATCATTCCATCCCAAATTGAGAAGAGAAGTACAACTAAAATTATACTTTCCTTTTCTTTTTTGTGACAGACAAGTCACAAGACAAGATTTTGAGTATTGGGAAAAGATGAAAGATAAAGTTAGGATAGACTGAAAAAGATGTCTCTACCTGGATCTTTGGTTTATCAATATATATACCATGTGGGTCACTGATCGCATATATATTAAGCAAAACATTTTAATAATAATAATAATAATAACAATCATAAAAGTTTTGACAGATTAAAAGACATATGCTAGTGGGAACGGTATCGGTATCTGAAGTGATGTGCAATTTATTCTGAAAATTAATATCTTGTAAAAATTAAAATTCAGTGGATTTGGCATTCTTTTTCTTCTCGATTGATACTACTACTTAGAAAATGCTGTACATGTTTGGATATCTATTTTTTAAAAGTTTCATATTTGTTTTAGAAAACTTTCATTAAAATTTGCACTATGATGTTATTGATATATGCTCTCATAATACATGTCATGAGATAAATATATACTCATTAATTAATTTAAATACTTGAAATTTTAAAATATCGATTTTCAATTGAATAATTTGTAATTATAATTTTAAAGTATATCAATTATAAACACATCGGCAACGAAATCATTTAGATATAAATTACTTGATGCAAAATAAGCCTATTTTAAACTTGTAAAGAAAAGAATTTGATATGAAAAGTTCCATCATTATTTTAATTAGTATAGGACATGTTCGGATAAATTATTTCGAAAGCCTTTCTAATATAATAAAGTAAAAAAGAAAAGATAGAATAAATTTTTTCATAAACTAAAATTAGTTTATAAATAAATTCAAATTAAAATTTTGGTAAAGTTAATAAGAAATAATTTCTAAAAATTAATTTATATATAAAATAATTTTAAAATATAGAAAAAAAATTATTTTCGTTTTTCTTTTTTTTTCATAAAATTTATCCAAACAGATTATTATTAAGTAGTGAATTTAAAATCAACATTTAACAAACAAGGGAAAACAGACTGACACGGATATAACCATTTTAAAATGGAAAAAAGTATATTCATGCATTAGTAGGTGTAGATACCTAATAATAAATAAGAAAAAGGGCAGAAATATATCATAAAAAATAATATTATGTGACAAGAAGAGAGAAATATAAAAATGAGATAAATAGGAATAAAAAAAAGTATATAAATATCATTATTAATTATCTAAATGTTACTGAATTTATTTTAAAAGGTGATATTGAATTTTCCTCTAAAAAAAAGATGATATTGAATTGAATGAGATGCACTATTTTAACTCAATGAACTAGATTGGAAAAATATTATAACAATAAAGTCATTTACTGAAAATTTAAAATTTATCAAAATTATATGTTGGCATAATAAGATGAAAACATGCTTCAAATAGAATCAACTTTTTAATTTAAAAATATTATTAAAAAAAAAGATTTGAGAATATTTTTCTATGTATATACAGTTTTGAAAACGTTTGCTAAATTTTTGCAGATTCGATCATTGTCTATCCACTCATATCTCTTGCTACAAATAGTAGATTCGATCATAAACACAAAACTGATGTGTAAATCTGAAATAAATCTTTTTTCCATTTAATTCGGGTATGTTTGATTGTTCTTTTTAATCCAATCACGATAATAGAATCATTACTTTATATTTCATAAATTAAGCAGTTACTTTGTTATACATTAGGCATAACAATCAATAGTTCTAGCATTGATTATGCTTGACATCCCTTTTCGAAATCTTACAAACGTTGTGTTTATTTTATTTATTCCAAGTAACCAAAATTTTACCCTCAACCTTATTTGCTAGCTTTTTGTATTTGAATTTCAAGTTTAATAAAGACATAATGCCAATACAGAAGTTTTTACATGTCAATAAATTAAAAATCATTTATAGTATGATTATAAGGTAATTATTATAAAAGATAACGATAACAATTTTACCTTACATAATAATTTAAGTTTAATGTATACTATTAATCAATCATAAATGTGATATATATATATATATATATGATATTTAAGTAATTTATTTTAAAATTAATAAATTTATTATACATATTAAATTTTGATTGGAAAATAGTGTAACAAGATTCTTATATTATCAACACATAAACTATTTTTTTTTAATAAATGAATGATAGAATAAAAAAAATTCTACATTCTCAATACATGTAAGTGTTTGATTGTGCAATAGTGAACTTAAACGGACGTGATTTGAAATTTTTATGATTTTTTTTATCCTTTTGAATATTTAATGCAAAATTAAGGAAAAACATGTGTATTGAACATTTAACCAAACACCTAATAGTAACTCTTTTTTTTTTGTTTTCAATGGGAGAAAAAAAAATTGGGTTATTATATTGGGAATGGGAAGGTGGTGCAAGCAATATAGAAAGTTTTGGAGGAGTGTGGGGACAAAGAATTATGGAAAGTGAGAAAAGGGTGGATGAAGGTAAAAGGGGGTTGTGAGTAATGAGTAAGAAAAAGAGGAGGAGGAAGGGAGGAAGCATCCTATTCCCATAATGGTGCAAGCTAGGCAATGGTACAAGAAACAATGATGCCGATTTGACATTGGGAAACTTTATCCTTTGCCCCATGCCATGATGGTTTTTTCTAAATAATACTCTTCTCTCCACTCCTACACAACTTTCTTTCACTTTATGAGGATTTTAGGTGTGTCTCAACTTTTAAGACTTTTGCTGCCCCTTCAAGCCAAAATAATGAAACCAAACAAAATGAAACCACTAGTCTTGGCCGTTTCCACAATTGATGCCCACTTATGGCCATTTCACAGCACACACCTTACTGTATCTGCCTTTCCATTCACACTCACCGTCCACCACTACTTTCCAAACACAAAACCATTCCCTCTTTTTCCTTCTCACCTTCAACACCATTCACTCCAAGGTTTACCACTTTGGGGACACAAAACCATGCATGTACCTCGCATTTATACCATTCTAAAAAAATGGTATAAATCACATGGTCCATGTTCCACTTATTATATTCAAATCAAATAAGAATATCAAAACTCTACATGCTAGTAAGACATTACACCAAAACGTATTTTGGATACCCTGAAATGATCCATATTCCACTAAAAATGTTTGAATCAAATGAGTTTGTTTGGATATAAATTAGAAACATTTTTAAGAGATTATTTATTAAGAATAAATATCCTTTTTTTAGTAGAAAAAACTCTCACATAGACCCTGGATCTTTCAAATTTAATGAAACAACAGAAAATAAAAGGTAAGTAATAAACGTGGTTGTAATTGGAAAAAAAAATAAAAAAAATACTATGTTAATACTTACATAATAAACACTTTATATTAAAATTCGATTAGACAATATTATATGAATAAAATATCATTTTCCTTAATTAATCACGATATAAGTAATACATACTTAGAAATAGTTTTTTTTTTTTTACGCGTATCGGCATTATTCTACCTCTTAGTAATCACTATTAACCCCACAATCACACCCTAGTAATTTATAAGAAAAATTACCATACTTTAAGTAACAAACTTTAAAAAGAAATTATATGAATTAAATAACAAAAAAAGAAAAGAAGAAAAGAGATAGAACATGAACAAAAGAATCATAAATTTATTTTTTTTATTTTTTCTTCTAACTATGTCTTTTTTTCTCTAATTTGTGTTGATCTAAAATCTACAATGAAACTCTATGCAAAAAAAAAGATTATACTAAGAGAGATTAACATGCACAGTGGCATCCATGCCAGAGTCACAAATGGGGCAATTCCTTACAGTGGACCCGCACATTGTGCAAAGGCAAAGATGCCTGCATGGCAGCAACAACACTACCGACTCCCTCACCCCACAGCTCCTACACAGCCTAGGCGACGCCGACGCCGCCGTGTCGTCTCCGGCGGCCTCTGCCACGTCATGGCTTCCGCAACTTGACTGAGCATCATCGGCCACCGCGGCGGCGCGCTCCTCCCCGACATGTGCCAGCACTTGTTCCAAATTGGTCCGTAGGTAGTTGGCTGTTGTTTCGTTTGTTTGTGCCAATTCCCTCCAAATTTGATTCTCCACGCACAAGCTTTTCACTCTTTCTTGAAGGGCCCAGTTTAGCTTTCCCATTCTCTCTATTTCCTCCTCTTTTTCTCTTAGCTTCTTCTCCATTGTCTCTTGGATTGCGCTTATTAACATCCTTGATTTTCGTTCTTCTAGTTCCATTCTCACTTTCTCATTCTGTTCAAATTCATAACACAACTTCGTTACAACAAAGTTCAAATATTCTAAGACTAAAGATAGATGTAATAAATTATGAACTGAAGAGAGTTTTTTTATTTATTTATATATATATATATATATATATATAGATAAATCTTGAAAATTTATTTATTTATAAGTCTATCTTTCAGTTACTCACTTTTTATATATGAAACCGGGTTTGGTGGCAGTGGCACGCATTCATGTATGTTGAAACCGTTGGATGAAAATCAGACAACTCATATGTTTTAAATTTGATTTACTAAAATAAAATATGAGTCATCAAATTTCTATCTGTCAGTTTCGAATTGCTGAATGTGTGGCTGACCGACTGCAGGAAATCCGGATCCATATAAGAACACTTTTTCTTTTTCTGTTAATTAGAAAAATTCATTTTTTTTTCCTCTAAAAAAATGAAGAGAAAAAAAATAGATATTGAAGTGAAGGGTGAAGAATTAATTACATGTTGTGCAAGGACACGATCAAATTCAGATGGTTGATTCTGGAATTGGTAGAGAAAGTCTTGGTTGTTGAGAAAAGAAGGTGATTGGGAAGAGATTTTGTTCTTCTGGTGAGCTGGGAGAGAGGTTAATTCAGTGGTGAAGTCTCTAGAACGCTTTCTTTGTAGAGGGATGTTGTAGGTGAGACCACTATCTGCCTTGTTTGGATCACACAAATTGGATTGGTAGAAAGATAAGAGAGATTCAGGCATTGTTGCTGGGAGAGGCAAAGCTGAATCCATCTGAGTATTGAACATATAATCAGAGTTCAATTGATGGTGTTGTTGATTAGATTTGATGATTTCTCTGCATAAACAACACATATATGTCAGCCAAAACATGAAAAATTAAAACCTAGGACGACAACAACAACAACAAACAAAGTGTTTTTGTGGTACCTGTTAGTGAGTAACTGAGAAGGCAAGAGATTGAAGTAAGATGCTTCAACTGCCATGGTGGTTGTTTAGGCTATGCTTATTGTGTGTGTATGTGAGTGAGAGAGAGAGAGAGATTGGCACTATATGAAGGAGAAGGAGAAGGAGAGAGCATGCAATAGATGTGGCTAAGTATTAGAGAGAGGGTGAATATGAATGAATGAATGAATGAATGAATGATTCAGGTTTAATATTTAGCATTGGTTTTTGTGGGCGTTTTTAAGAGATAGAAGAAAGAAAGTCAAACGCATCTTTCCTAGACAGAGAAAATCTCAGCATATTTTTTATGGAAGATTAGAAATTTAATATGTAAAACATGGCTTGTCAGATTTTGCTCTGTCGGATTCGCTTTAACGTATTTTCCACATTCACTCTTTTACGAATTTCGTTTCTAACTTTTCCTTTTTTTTCTTTTACCAAGCACCATATATAATAAATACTGACATGATACATGCACTAAATAATAATAAAATAATCAGAGCGCGTTATATAATAATAATTTTCACGTATTCCTAACATAGAAAATCACGATTTACGTAGTTCCCGTCTTTCCTTGACAGTTTCCTCATGTCGATATCATGTACTTGGCTGTTTCCATTGGTTTAGCAATTTTAAAACCACAAGTTTTTCATTCAAATTCTCGAGGATTCTCGTGTCCAAAACTTTTATGCCTTCCAAATTTGTTTCATACTTTTCACTTTATAAACTCCTCAATCAATGTAGTTAATTAGGTAAATTATTAGATATATACCACTTGTTTACACAACATTTTCAAATTAAATAGTATACATAAATACACCTTGTAATTTATAAATAATCTTTTTCTAAGAGAAAATGTGTCATGAAATAATATACATATATAATAGATTATAGATTATGATATGTTGATTGTATGGTATCAAATTAATGAAATAATAATTTAAATAATTTTTTAATCAAATGTAAATTTAATTAATTTAATATTATATTTAATAATATTATTAATTATTAATTAGGTCAAGTATATAAATTATTTTAATATTTTAAAATATATATAAATATTTATTGTTAAATAATATATATATACATATATATATATATATATATAAAGTTCATAACGTATAAAATTATTTCACTAATTTGATATTGTCAAATTAGAATAATACATTTAATACTTTTTTTAAGAATGTAAAACCAATCTAATCAAGGACGGAGCCAAGGGGGACCTACGGGTGCCACGGCCCCCCCAACAATTTTAATTTTTTTTTATATTTTTTTTTATATTATTTTTAAACTTTAATTTTCATTTATTACCAATTATATATTATTTATTCTCGGCCCCCCAGTATTGAAATCCTGGCTCCGTCCCTGAATCTAATCATTATACTTGGCAGTATTATTTTATTACTAATTAGATTAATTATATAAAGTATATATAATTTTAAAATTATTTTTTTTCAATCATATCACTTTATTTTAATGTATAAAATTATATTAAAACTTATATAAATATTTAGTTAGATAATATATAAAAAATAGTTCATAATATATAAAATCATTTCACTAATTTAACACCATAATATCAAGTTAATATGTCATCTTTAATTATCTTTAATTTTTAATAAAGAACAAATTTAACTGACATATTTTATGATATTACTAATAAATAATTAGATCAAACATATAAAATTATATATAATTCTAAAATCATTTGACAATTTATCATATAATTCTTATTTTAACGTATATATAAAATAATATTTAAATTACATGTAAATATTTATTATTAGATAATATATTTAAAAAATTCTAAATTATTTGAAATTGATATACATGATTATTATGTAATATCATTAAATATAGTATTTGATTTGATTAAATTTGTAATATATATATATATATATATATATATATATATATAATTAATAAACATATTATTTCACTAATTTGACATGATAAGATGTATTACATATTATATATGTGTGGATATATGCGTTATATTTTGTTTTGTCAAATCAATTAAATGAAGAACATTCAAATATTTATGGCTAGTCTTTAATTTTTATCCATTTTCATTTTTTTAATATCCATTATCACTAGTCTAATATCAAGTATTAAAATATTCAATTTATAATTTTTATATCTGGTATAGCCCAATATAGTGTATTAGTTTTTTAATTTTACAATATATGCAATTGAATGTGTGCGCATTTATATAAGAAATCATGACAAATAATTATATATTTACAAATATTTTATATTATACTAATTTATATAAATGGGTCTTATAAAATATGTTTTATAAATATATTTACATATGTATATAAATTTATATGAGTGTGCATATAAATTTATTAAATTATAATTTATATATTTATTTTATAAAATCAGAATAAGTATTGTGATATTTCTTAGGGTGTTTTTCATTCGATGATATTTCTTAGTTTGAATGTACTATATAAAGTACTTCCTCTGTCTAATGAAAAATAGCGTATTTTAGGTTATTTTATACAAATAAAAAAAATAGATGAAAAAAATTAGTGACTTTATAAAATAAATCTTATAATTAATCTTACTTAATACATTTCAATGAAAAACATTAAGTCTTCGATTATGAAATCATTCAGATATATTGTAGTATATCATTCGGACATTATGATAACCAGAAGACTCCTATATATAACAATTTTCTTTAATTTTCAAAGTTTAAATTTTGATTATCCTATATGATGAATGCAACTTGATACCCAACCTTTGTTAGTTATTATAAATTAAATGTTTAAAGATCAATTAATTTAAACGCAAAATCTAACAAAAAAGCGTGAAAATATTTTTATATTTTAAACCATTGAAATGTAAACTTGTTAATAATTTTATTTTCTTCATGATTGTTTTTATCAAACTTATTCTTTAAATAAAAACTTCATAATAATTTAATTTCTTGATTCATTTTCAATTTAACACTTTACTATAATATATGTTCAACATTTTGATACTGAATCACTGATATTTAAATTATATATAAATAGTAATAATGAATAATGATTTATTTGTATTCCTAACTAAGAATCGACCCTTATTTTGATTTTTTTTCTCTTGACTGCTTCCTAACATGCCAATATGTAATCGCCATTTTGCAAGGGAAACATGTTTAAAAACACAAACTCTAGCATTGATTCTTTAAGTTTTAGTAACGCCTACATGATATAACAAGATAGAGGTGAGATGTTATAAAAAATTAGCAGATAAGACATTTGTTTTATTACAATATTTTCTACATAATGTAAGTAAATAAACCTTGTAATCTATAAGGAATTTTTTTATCGAATAAAATGTAAAGAAAATGAAATATGAATATCTAAAGAAACTGACATTTATAAAAAATAAGGGAAAGAGGAAAGAGAACAAAAAATTATGGGTTTTAGTTTTGCAATAATTATATAAATAACAAATAATGAAATATTATTCAAGTAATATTATTACCTCTATCCTTATATTTAAGAAATAAATAAGAGTTTTATTTTGGTCTAAATTATAAGAAATATAATACTATTTTTAAATGTATTAATTGATAATTTATTTTTATATCCTTGATTATTATAAATTTAATAATGAGTTAATTATCTACTCACTTTTCAAAAAAGTTAATGCATTTATTGGACAACTAACATAACGAGTCATTCTCATTGGTTAAAAAATTATTCTTTTAACTTTTAAGTAGTTAATAAAACTACCACTTTCTCTCCAAAAAAAAATAAAACTACCACTTAAACTATTTAACTTTATGAGTATTTTTTTGAATAAAATTTTTAATTATAACATTATTAATTAAAACCAACTAATTTAATTATTTTCATTGATCTTAATAAAACAGATATTTATTTCTTATATATAAGAAAAAAATAATAGTACTTAACACTTAATTTGAACTCAAATAAACGAGTGTAATTTAGAATTCAAATTATATATATATATATATATATATATATATATATATTAAAAAAAAAGACTACTATTCATAATACAATTGATTCAAGAATACAAAAGAACACAAATGTTTTAAGATCAACTCCAATCTCAAAATCCCAAGCCTGACAATTGAGTTTTGATGATGCCTTGATTCTTCTAGGACTAAAAATTAAGCACTTTGTCTAATAGTAAAGTTAAGTGAGCCTCTCTTTCATATAAATCTTAAATAAGATTAGAGTTAAAAGACTCAATGTAAAAATGAAAATTGTTAACCACTTGAGTTAACTAGTACGATTATTTTAGTTTAATCCTTATTTTTGATAGTTTGAATTCGAGTTTAAGTCCAGGGACGGAGCCAGGATTTCAATACTGGGGGGCCGAGAATTTGGAATGATCAAATGAGGCGCTACTTTTTTAAAAAAAAAAAAATTCCAAAGTGATACCACATAGCAGGCCGTACCAGAAGTCCAAAAGTTGAATAAAAAAATAAATTTGGGTTATTCATTTAATTATACATATGAGTTTATATTAAAAATAGGGGGTGCCATATAGTAATATATATGTATATAAAAAAAAAATTAAAATTGTTGGGGGGACCGTGGCACCCGTAGGTCCCCTCTTGGCTCCGTCCTTGAGTTTAACTCTAAGATGTAATAACTTAGATGAGGATGAATTGATAAAAAAAAAACACGTTAAAAAATAAAAGAGTCATTACCAATATTTATTTAGAGAAACATTGAAAAAATATTTTTAAAAAGAGATCTTTAAAAACTAAATTTTGAGTTCAAAAGTCGATGAAGCGTAAGAAAAATATTAACATTCTACCATATTTGTACTAAAACGATTACGTTGAATTAAACGTGTAAAAATAAGTTTGAAAATGCTTACTTTACTTCTTGACAGGAAACAAAATTATTATTGTATTTTCAAATATACAAGCTTTTATTATTCAAAAATAGATTTTTATTAAAAAATAAATATTATTATCATTATTATTTAGGAAAAAGGAATATTACAATTAAGTTGTTATTTTTATCTTTTTAGCTCAACAAAAATAATTTCTTGTTCCCCTGTAACTCCATGTATAATGAAGGATTAGATTGACATAGTTTTTTTTTTTTTTAGAAAATAATTTTTGTATGTTGAAAGATTTTGATTTTTGAGTTTTAATTTAAAAGGCTTTGTGATAACCAAATTAGAAGTGTGCAAATATCATTGACATTTTTAAGTTTTTCCATTAAATAAATTAGAAGTGCATCTAAAGTGGTTAATTCACAAATTTATCACAAACAAGAAATTGCACAATACTTGACAATTA